GGTTTCTAACTGCATGCGTGTACTCTTTCTGCAGGAAGGACACTTTTTGACGACGACGCAGTTGCCGAGACTGTGGTCAATTTCAATTTGGAGAACCCAAGGAATGTATCCACCGTTGTGCAAAGCGCTCGAGGTGATACTGGTGTGATATCGGTGACAACAGCTCACATGCGCGCGATGTACGACAACTTCCCTGAGGTGTTGCAAATGGACTGTACCCACAAGACCAACAAGTGAGTTTCTTGTTTGCATATTTTGTATACCGAAATCCAGAGATTTTCCATGTGTAAACCAGATATTGACTGGAGGGTTTGTTGCAGGTATAACTATCAGTTGTTGCCACTTGTAGCGATTGACCAATTTGGACACGGCCAGCCAGTGCAGTACGCAATGCTTGAGACGACTTCCGACTGGCACATGGCTAAGTGCCTTGATCACTTCAAGAGAGCGAACGAGCACTGGCGGTTAGTTCGTATCGTCATCGTGGACAAGGACTTACGTGAGGTGGATGTGATAAGACGCAAGCTTCCTGAGGCGCGCGTGCTCTTGTGTCATTTTCACGTGATAAAATGGCTGCATGAAATTGTGCGTTGTGGGAAGTACGGGTCGTATGCTCCTGACGTGGCTGACCAGTTGTAACATCTCATTACGAACATGACCTACGCAAGGACTGAAGGCGATTACAAAGCTAACAGGGATGAGTTTAAGGCCGTGGCATGCCGTGACGGGGTTTCCACTCTCTGGGAATACTTTGTGGAGAAATGGGATTCATGCGCCGACATGTGGGTGATGTTGCACCGAGTTGATCAGCCACACTTCAACAATCATACAAATAATCGTGTTGAGAGCTTGTTCGGAAAGATCAAGCAGAACGTCAAGTCCCACGTATCGATGCATAGCTCTCTAGAAGTGCTTTTGGCAATTCAACGTCGGATGGAGGAAGAATATCGTGCTCACGTGGAGATGCCTGGTACTTTACGAGATACAAGCTACTCGGAGGAGATGAATATAGTGCTGGGGATGACTACTCGTTGGGTGGCTTCGGCGATTGAGGGTGAAAACAAAGTGGCGGTGGCTAAAGAATACCAGGATCGATATACTTTGAAGACGATGGGGTATCGGTGAGTGTACGAAGCCAACGCCGAGAGTACCTCTTGCAAAAGGAGGGATGGAGTTGTGATTGCGAATTTGCCCAGACCATGAAGCTACCCTGCCGACACGCGATGACATTCAAGAGGGACATCGGAAGTGCGTTTATCATCCCATTTTCAGCGATTCAACCGAGGTAAGTCCAGGTTGTCTAGGTTTTATTTACAAGTTTCATCCAGGTATTGCCCAGGGTTCGGACTATACTATAGATATTACCCATATTTCTAGCAAGTATCAAAGTTTTTTGGTTTTCGTTTCTTGTGCAGATGGTTTGGACAGAGCCGAATTCGCATTGAAGATATCGCAGAGCTCGCGACTCCGTTCGTGGCAAAGATCTTCAAGACAGAGACGGATGACTTGGAACGCCCTCTCAGCGAAAAAGAAAAGTACCGGCGCGCTCAACAAGCATTTGGAAGAATTGGTGGGAGCTATCACAGTTTCCTGATGACGTGTTTGAAAGCGCTATGTCTCAGTTTGACACCTGGTGGCACGACATGCGTCACGGCAATGCTAGCATGATCGCTACGCGCAAAGACACTAGTGACGACAAGATGGATGATGATGAGGACGATTCGGGTGCTGCTGCTGGATCTGTTGGTGGAAGTACGCCTTCGCCTAAAGAGGGGGTTAACGAAGGTTACACGAGATCTACGTCGCCCGACAGTGATGGGGACTCAGCCACCCCTACTCAAGTGGCTGACTCACCGGTGGGCAGCGTCGAAATACGGCTAAATGGGTCAGCCCCTAAGGTCGGACGACCGCGGTTGAAATGTACTAAGCTGAAACAACAAGCCAAAGCCGCCCTGAAAGAGTACAACCAAGGCATGCGTCTCCGCGGACTTCTACGAGATAAGGATGTGTATGAAATAGTGGCTTGCCTGCAGGAAATACGCCCTGCGTTGCATGAGGTTACCTCATTTATGAAGACCTACCATGTTCATGAAGTCAAACGGGCATCTAATTTTACGTGAAAAGTGGAAAAAGATTTTGTTCCTGATATTGTTCGGTTTCGTCTGGATGAAGACACAATTCAAGTGGTTCTTGCCGATTTGGAGGCGCAAAAATCTACTCTCAACAACGTACAACCTATAGATGATACTATTAGTTTAGACGGCACTTCCCAAAGCACCAGTTCAATTGTAGCAGTGATCCCGACAATTGGAAGTTCACACGTGAGCAGTTGGAGGCAATGAGGTGGGTTTGGAATCTGCACAAAGTGTGCGATAGCGGAAAGAAGTGTGCCTCGTGGGTACTTACCACAGTGAAGCAAGTTGTAGACGCTGACAGTGAAGTTGGGGGAATGGCAATGGAGTTACTGGAGAACTGGCTCTACAGCAAACTGGCTGGGATAGGATTTGACTACACTTACGCTGGGCTATACTGCTTCAGGAGCGGTTGTTGGTTGAGTGACGACTCTATCCTTGCGTTTACGTAACTGCTTCGAACTGAGTATGGCAACAATGCCACTGTTTTCTTGCAACCAGTATCAAGCTCTATAGTCGACACGGGAGACGTTGTCACAGATGTTATATCCGTAATTACGCTGGTTAAAATTCGCGAGTGTCTGGATAACGATCTGACGGGGTACATATTCATTCCTGTCAACTTTGATACCAACCACTGGGCATGCCTTGTCATCAACAAGTTGAAGAAGAAGATTGTCGTGTACGACAGTATGAACAAACGAAAGATTGGCAAGATACTCAAGTTGATGGCCCGTGAGATCGACGGCGGTCTACTCGAGAGTGCGTTCAAGCACCTCACAATGACCACACCGCGCCAGAAGGACGGCGACAGCTGCGGCATATTCGCGTGTCTTCAGTTCTGGAGACAGGTGTCAAACGCTGCTCCAACGGATGTGTCTTCGAGGGGTCTTGTTCGAGTGCGCTGGGAGATGTTACAAGCTTTAATGAACCAGAAGGCGCAGTGAGTGTAGCGGTGCATCCTGATTTTTGAAGATTCTGCTAAGCAAAATATAACCTGGCCAATACCTGGTCAATACTTGGTTCCACCATGGAATACCTCGAAGCCGTCACGCTGTTCTGATTGGCTACATCGGTCCCATGAAGCTCCGACAAGAAGTCAACCGCGTCATTTGACAATTTGCCCATGTAGCGCGCATGCAGTTTTTCCAGGTACCACAACCTGGTCAATACCTGTTTTGGTAATATAGAAATATATTTCATCATTTTGGTGACCTTTTTAAGGCCATTTTAGACACCTGGATAATCCCTGTATGGAAACTTGGACAATATTTGTTTTTTAATAAATTAATTATTATAAATAATCTGGGCTGTAAGGTCGTCCTTTATTTTTTAAAAAAATATATAAGTTTTCCAAACTATTTGCTTCAAAAGGACTGCTATTCTTTGACGGTACCTCCGACAAGCTCAGGCAGAATGAAATAAATTTCAGAGGAACGCGAGAAAGTAACTACTTCGAAGCGGTTGTTGCAATACCAAGCTTAGCCCAAGGTTTGCGCTGCCGCTACCAAAACCTGACCACACTTCAGATCGGAAGTGCAATTGCGAGGGTATAACGATGACGTCTTCTCAGTCTGGATGGTGCTATGCGTAATACCCTTCGGCAGAAGATAACGCTGGGTTGCATGCAGCGCGACTTCGACATCGTCCGCGACGATATGCACACTCAGTGACGATAATCCAGCACTCAGCGACCAAATGTGCAGATCGTGTGCTCCTACCACCGACGAACATGCTCGGAGTCCGAACTCGATGTCTTCGGTGTTGATACCTTCAGGGTTTCCCTCCATCAGAATGTGGAGGCTGTCACGAACGATTCCGACCGTTGTAAACAATACCAGTGCCGAGAAGATAAACGTCGCGATCGGGTTGGCAATCTGCCATTCCGGTTTAAGCCAAATGAGCCCACCTGCGATACAAACGCCGATACTTTGAATAAAGTCGCCCAAGGCATGAATATATGCTGACCGGATATTGAGATTTTCCATATTCATTTTTGTCGTCGGCTTTTCAGCTCCATCCAATTGAGCAACCTCCAGATCTCCACCGAACGAGTGTTTTCGTTGCTCATGTCCATGCCCGTGAGAATTTCTTTCTCGATGCGTGTGACCGTGCTTTCGAGGTGATAGTCTGTGATAGATCCCTTCATTTTCACTGTATCGGTGGTGGTCTTCGTGATCATCATCCAGCAACTCCCCACCATGCGAGTGGCCCTGGATGTCGACTCCACTGTGAGTATCTACAAAACCACGTTCTTGATCAGTATGACCGTGTACGTGTGTGTGCCCACCTCCATGTGAATGTCCATGACTACCAACCCCGTTGTGCGAATGACCATGAGCACCGCCCCCATGAGAATGGCCATGACCCAGGATTTGCATCAGCACCAGGTTTACCAGTAGTCCGATACAGGCCACGATAAACATCAACTTGCCATCAACGTGTTCAGGCGGATTTGGCTCCAAACACTCGATAAACCGATTTACCACCGCATAGACCAAGACACCCGTTAGAGCCCAAAGCACCAGTACACTCGTAACAGCACCGATAACTTCCGTGCGTTGGAAACCGAAACTCAATCGGTTGGTTGGAGGGCGTGTGCTCGTCCAGATAGCAAATAGTGAGATGCAAAATGCCGCCACATCAGACAGCAAGTGAGCGGCGTCCGCCATAATTGCAAGACTGCCGGCCAGGAAACCACCAACGACTTCAGCGACCATGAAAAAGAGGGAGCATACACACGCCAACTGTAGTTTCTTCTGGGCATACTGGGCACTATCACTTAGCGGAATGCGGCGCGGAGGCTCGATCAGAGCAGCATCGTTTGGTTGGCCATTGCTGAAACACGGACAAAGCAGCGCTCGGGTGCAGCCGTAGGGACTTGATCGGGTGTGAGACGCGGTCGCCATCTTGGAGAATGGCTTGCAAGTGAGCAGCGTGGTGCATAAGAGCCATATCCGTTACCATGCATGTCAGTTGCAAAATCTCCGGCGGTACGTTTAGTGTTTGACGAAAGAGTTGCAAGAGTTAAGTGAGAACAATGCCACGGAAACCAAGCGGACGGATTTTCTTAGCGCGCTAGCTTGCTAGCCCCAAAATAGCAAGGTACATATATATTTATAACAACTCCCCACCTTGCGCGGCGAGGAGGAAGGATCAGATCGCCCCGACGGAGGTGGTCTCGACGAACCGCAAAACCATTCAGCGACTTCTTCTCTATTGGTAAAGGGAGCCGCATGTCCTGGAAATGAGGAGGGATGTTCCGAGCTTAGCGAAGCTCCTCTGGAGCTTCGAAGGGCGTCTGTTTCTTCGTCCAGGGAGCTTGAGGTGGCGGAGCTTCGCATAGCCGGTCATGCATTGAAAGAACACGGAGCTCATGAACTCATTCTGCGGTCCCGAAACTACTGTTAGGTTATTTCAATATCATTGCCACTTACATGTTTCGCCTCGTAGATTCACACGCAGGCGGCATTGACCGTGCCTGCGAGTAACCGGTAGCCTCACTCCCGAAACCAGCGGGCTCGGTAGGAGTCAGGTCGAAGACAGGATCAGTCTTCAGGCTCTGCTAGAACAACTGTTCAAACATTGCCTGGGCCACGTACCCTAAAAAAAAAAAGGTAGACGAAATAGCAATACTACAATAATCAATTACCCTAAAAAAAGGATTGACGAAAAAAATACGATAATAATCAAACTGTACTGACCTGCAGCCCCATGGTTGGTTTGGATGCTCGTCGTTGCGATTCCATAGCGCAGTAGTCTGTTTTTCACGTAAAGTAAATTGATACAATTATTGCAATACATAACGATAACCGTCCAAAAAAAAATCACACTGAAAAACATCCAATTTTTCAGTACAGGCTTCCAGCCATATTTTATTACTCAACGACAATGAACTTGTAGAACTTTGAAAAAATGTCGCTTGCCGTTGGATGGCATTCAGACGAAAAAAACCCATTAAAAATTTAATGGGTTTTTTCTTCTGAATGCCATCCAACGGTACGGTTTATTTGGGTTATTCGAAACCAACTCAAAAAAGTCAAGTATAGGTCGTAATAATAGAAGCTTGGTTGGCTTTATAACATAGTTCCAAAATCTCGTCGTAACGTATGCTGATTGGCTCGGATGGCATTCAGACGAAAAAAAAACCATTAAAATTTTAATGGTTTTTTTTCGTCTGAATGCCATCCCAGCCAATCAACATACGTTTTGACGATTCTGATTAAGAATTATATTCTTAACCAAAGATGAAAATTAAACATTTCTCACTCTGAGTGCAAATATTATGAAATTCAAAACGCAAAATATAAAGAAGCCATGGACACCGAGAGTGAACGCATCGAACGCGCCCGCGCCAAGAACCTCGCGTACATCCAGCAGTAAGCGCTCTATCTTCAACCTTTCCACCTTCTTGTGGTCATAAACGTGCTCGTCGGATATTCAGGCAGGACGAACAGGAGGAAGCTCAATCGGCGGACGATTTCTTGACCACCGTCCTCGGGCCTTCCAAACGATCTACACCAGTAGCAAGAGGCTCCAAGGGCAACAGCAGCGTCTACATCACGGGGCTTTCAACGTATATGGCCTGCAGACAACTTGGTCAGTCGTTTGCCTACTACTTAATAGGAATCCATAGAGTGATAAAGACTGATGGTGTTCTGCAGAGGGCGTATGCAACAAGCTGGGCAAGGTGCGACGCATCAAATTCTACAAGAACGACAAAGGAGGCCTCAAGGGTGATGCAGTGGTGACTTTCAGCTCGCGCGCCACTATGCTCAAGGCCGTTGACAGGGTAAAGCTAAGCTTACTGCCAATTGCTCCATGAAACATCAGAGGGTAGTCGGATCCACTACACGACGCTTGCTTAGTGGGTGGATTTCATGCAATTTTCCATGCATGTTGCTGATTCGCGTCTCGTACCTTGCTACACAGCTGAATCACTTCGAAGTCAAGCCGGGGGTAGTCATCACGTAAGTGTATTATAGTAATGTGAAAGCAGCTCGGAAGAAACTCACTCTTTCTTTTATACAGAGCAACGGAAGCAACTTTTTCGACAACGAAACCTACTGGGAAAGAGGAGAGCAAGGAGAATACTGGTGCAGCTCAAGTCGCTTCCCATACAACAAACGTGCTGGCCTCATGTGAAGAGGCAAAAGCAGACTCAGCACAACTCGACTTGCCATCGTGCTCGATCATTTTGAAGCATGTTTGGGATCCACTTGAAGGCAGCGATGCTGAATTCTTCGACGATCTGGAAGAAGACATGCGGGCTGAGTGCAGCAAACATGGAGCTGTAGAGCACATTCATATTGTTGCAGATGGGTCGGTGGTCGTGCGCTTTGCCGAGCTGAACGCCGCGATCGCGTGCCTGAAAGTGATGAACGGGCGATGGTTTGCTGGACGGAAGATCGAGGCGCGGTTTGACCAGGCCACAGCCGAAAATCCAAGCGATGCAGACACCAAGGTGGAGGCGTTCCTGGCCTCAATTGGCGAGTGAAGCCAGTGCAATGAGGTGAGTGCGATCTAGCAGCAACCACAGTCACATATTTTATTGTCTCCGTTACTGACGGGGTTGGAAATACGCATCAAAAATTACGAATCGATTGGGCTGTGGGAAATACTCGGTCAGACCGGCGTGTTTCTTCAGGAAGGCAAAGAGCTTAGGTGACGGTCGGTCGTACGCTAGCTGGGCAGGCGTGATATTCTCCTCTCGCAGAAGCCGCTGGAAGAGCTGCAACCCCACGCCACGGCGCTGGCAGGTGTCGTCTACGTAGAAATCTAAGACGCAGATTGGATCCATTTCCGTGTAGTTTCCACTAGGGCTCTGTGTAGCAAGTAACAAATAACAAAACGCAACAGCCATGACAAACACTCCACAACATTCCATGAGACTCCCCTTTTTACCAGATAGAACAGGTGCTTGACGCCGGTCTTGAGGAAGCCCATGACAGCACCATCGTCATCATTGACAGCCAGCAGCAGAGTCTGTCGCTGTTCTGCTGCCGCGGAAGACGCAAAGAGATCGGTGGAGGTGATTTCATGGGAGAGAGCTTGGGCCTGGCGAAAGATCGATCGTCAGGGTCAATGGCGATAGCCCATCGCAGTGTTAGTGTCGGTACCAACGCGATGGGTGGAAGAGGGGAGGACGTACGATAGCAGACTTTTTGCCGAGTGTATTGATCGCGTCGGCCAGCTCTGGACTGCTCAATGGCTCTGAGTCTGACGCTAGTACGGCTTCAATCCGCATCTTGGTCGACGCGAAAAATGCTTCGTTTTCGGCCGTTTTCTGCTTGTGTCGCCATTAGAAACTCTGTTACGGAGTAACAGCGAGTCCTGAGGTCAGGAAGCCATCACTACTAACGCCAGCAGTATGGGCGCGGAACTATCCAAACCAGCCGAGCCGAACCCGTGCGCGGGCGAGATGGGAACCTACGTGAAGTGAGTGTTACACTCCTGCTCCTGATTCAGGCGTTCTGAAGGAGGAGAGGCGGTTATGGAATTATGTGGAGGAGACTCAGACCCGATCGATTGACTCACGATGTTGACGTGCGCAGGTGCGTGGAAGCGAAGACTGCCGAGAGCGGGGGACTGCGCGACGGCGAGGAGTGCGAGAAGGAGAGCGAGGCCTATCGCGAGTGCCGAAGGAAGGTCAAGGAGCTCAAGGCCGCCGTCAAGAAGTGAGTTTGGGGGGCTTAGAAACATCGTAGACGGCAAGCCAGACGTTCGCGAATTGCACACAACGGTTGCAAATGCATTTGCTTGTTCATACGTCACACTTGTCCTTCTTGTTTTTCTATTGCTACGTCCTGCTGCCTTCTAAGCTACTAGTACATTGCTGACAGCCTACTTTATATACCTACTTGATCCTATTCTTCGTCCACTTACTTAACTCGAAGCTCTTGCATCGAAAATCGACTGCTATCCACACCACGACTAGACCCCGCCGTGTTCGCGGTCTCGTCGTCGCTATAGCCAAAGCTGGAAGACGCTGTCTTGATGCCGAAGTTGTACGTCTTGTTCACGCTAGCCGGAATCTCACCAGCTGCGTTGTTGCGTACAACGCGCACGGAGTTCAGGCCTTTGGAAGAGGCGCTGCTGACTCTGGACGAGTTCTTGCCGCTGAAGCCGAAGGACGAACGCGACGCCATGTGGTGATGGTGGCCACTGCGCTGCCGACGTTGAGATACTACCTGGATGTCCTTGGGCATGTAGGCATCCGGGATGAGCCGCTCCGAGTTAGACAGGATGGATGCTATCGAGCAGTCCGTGGCGGCCGACATTGAGCGCCCGCGACTGCTTGTCGGTTGGTCGAAACTCCGTGCAAAGTCCTTGCTCTGGTAGTGCTGCATGTAGAGGAGAGGGCAACAGTCAGACGTTGTGCAAACAGGAACAGTAAGCGAAGAAGAAGGCACGTACCAATTGCGGATCGCGATCGCTGTCGCTGCCTCCAAGGCCGCATACAACGGAGAAGTTGCCGCCCATAGTGTCGAAAGGTCTTGCTTGATCCCAACGGAGGTTGTTGTCTTGTGCAACACGGTGCCGCCAACACCTCGGCAAACAGTTGCCACGCAAAATCAGGATGTGTACCACACTAACGTTCTTTTTTCTCATCACATGTGTACCACACTAACGTTCTTTTTTCTGGTTTCTGTTTTTCCAAACACAAATATTATGTTAAAGTTTCCGAATATTTACAATCGATCTGGATTTCCCAACTGCGACAGTCGTTCTTCCCGACATAAAGCAAGTTAGCATGGCCGCTGTTCGTGTGCGGCGATGGAGCGACGTGGAGGCGCGGCGGCGGCCGATTCACCGCGCTGCGTACGCTAACAGCACGCCGAGTCCAGCACCTGTAGCCCCCGCGTCGGCCGAGCCCGCGCCGTCCGCCAAGAGCGTCCCGTTGGCAGTCATGGAAGACGCCCCCGAGTGCGTCATTTGTCTGGACGAACTGGCGCTGGGACGCGCATTGTTCACAGCTGAGTGCGGCCACCGCTTCCATTTCAGTTGTCTATTGGAGAACGTTAACCATGACGAGGCCAATTCGGACAAGTGTCCGATCTGCCGCAAGGCGCAAACGCAGTGGCCCGAGCAGACCGAGGGACTTGTCAAGGCCCATCCCTACTGTGAGTTGCAACAACAGCGGTTATAAGACACTGCAAGATCACACCACTAACGACTATATTTGGGCGTGGACAGGTACAAACTGCGGTAAACGAGGATCAGGAGGACAATTCTGCGACGGATGTGGACAATCACTAGCTCATACCCCCACAGCTCAAGAACGCGCTCGGGCGGCGGCTGCAGCTGCGGCTGCAAGGAGCAACGTGGTGGTTGAATGTCCCACGTGTCGGATCCGCTGCCTTGTGAGCACCACAGCTCGAGGCACGCTGCAGTGCCCCAATGGCCACCTCTTCCAGCTACGCATGCCCCCAACCACGGGCAACTCGCAGGGACTTCGACAAAGCTTCAATGGGCCAGGCTCGATGACATCAGGACCTAGGCCCATCATGCGCCAATGCCCCACGTGCTACACGCGCGTGCAGATGCCGCCAGGCAGCCAAGCCGGGCAGTACATGTGTCCACATGGACACACTTTCTACTTTTCCCCATTCCAATAGATTATTTTTTTCTGCTTCCTTTTTAATTTTTTTATTCATTGTGGGTTTATTGTGACGGGTAATGCAACTAAATGTTGTCTTATGTATGAGCTTGAGAGATCAACATTTCGCCAGAGAGGAAGGCGTCGGCGCGATGCAGCGTGTGCTGCGACGACAAGTCGACCGGATACTTGTACATCTCAGCAGTGATCGGAGCGCTGTTGGCTGTACGTTGGTCAACTTGAAGATACGTCCAACATTCAGGAGAGAGTACACTAGCACCAAGTGTTGGAGATGTGGCACCGTCATGAGTCGGTGGAGCAGCGGACGCACTGGTAGTGGCTAACTCCACTACGACGCAAGCTCCGTGTGGCAAGTTCTCCAATGGCGTTTGCATGTGCCACGTGAAGCCCCAGAGTAGAGCGTTCGACGCAGCTACCGGTTGTACGGACACTTGTTGCCGCATCTCGACCAGGTTGCGTTGTCCATCCATCACCGAGATGACGATACGCGGTCGTCGATCACCGATAGAAGTCGCGTTATTCAGTCTGATAAGCTCCACAAAGAGCGACACGTACGAACTGTTGAGTACTTTTCCTGGCTGCTTGAGAGGAAGAGTAAGGGCGGTTCTTCGCTTGCACTTAAGCCTCGAATCAACTTGTTAGGTCTCTTCAGGAACGCGTTTCCCGCTGCTAGCAACCCGTTCATGGGTCCAGGTGGAGGCTGGGTAGTGTGTGGGATCCCTACAGACCCACACGCAGACGAAGAGATACTCGTGATGGCAGTCTTGGCCAGTTCAGCCTTCAAGCATCGCACCAGCATCAAGTGTGGCTCAGAGAGACTCGATGCTAATGCTCCACGGTCCAGAAGAAGCTTCGCTAGTATCAAATGTCCAGCCTGTAGAGCCAACTGCAGTGGAGTCTCTTGTCGTGTAGTCATAGCGTTGATGTCAGCTCCGTTCTCAATCAGCCACTGGGTCGTCTTGACAAGCTCAAGCTCAGCATCCAGCAGAGACTTTGACTTTGCATTGGAGTTAGCTGTGATGACAGAAACGTCGAATTGGATCTCGCTGTTGCTCTTGTTGTTTTCGGGGCCTTCGTCTTCAATCGCCGCTAAGATCACGAGACTACTACAACCAGCGACCAAGTGCAGAGGCGTCTCCAGTCTCGATGACGAGCTTTGAAGATTGCACACTTCTTGACGAGCTTTAAAGTCTATGAACTCGAGATGATTGCCTTGGGCTGATCGGTGCATGGCAAACACTCGGGACTCGATGCTGCTTGGGATGATATTGCGTAGATGAGCCAGCCAACACTGGATCTCAATCGCTCCTGATGCTGCGAAGTACAGCCGGCCTTCTTTGTTGCGACCTCCAAGTAGTTGTGGAGAGTGGAGCTCAAAGGCGAAAGGCAAGTCCACACTAGTCTTAAGTAGAGCAGTAGTCAAGTCGATCTGCAGTGAACTCGGTCCAGCAAATGTGGCGTTGCGGTCGTTGGGATAATAGTCCAGTTGTGGACGGTCTTGCTTGTCCGAAGTCACACTCAGCACTACATATCGACGCATCCAGCGCGAAGTCTCGCGTCGCTTACGAAGGTATCCGCTGTAGACAACAGTCCGCTCAGAGCGGCGCTCTATTGTGTGTTCGGCCTCACTATTGTCCTGCTGGTTATCGGTCTCATCAGCAGGATCTGTAGTATTTTGTTCAGGTTCGTCGGGCTCTTTAAAGCTCGATGGAATAGCTCGGATGATTGGGATCGCAGTCATTTGCAGTGCTAGATACTTAACCATCGCATGTTGGCCGTACGCACACGCTTCATGGAGGGCAGTGAGGCCTCGTCCGTTCTTGAGTGTAAGCAGTTCTTCAGCAGAACGTTCACCAAGCATGTACTTGACCACGTGGAAATCTCCACACGCAGCAGCTTCATGGAACAGCGAGTTGTAGCCAAACATACGAGGCTGCAACGTGAAGAAGATGTCTGGTTGGAGACGTAACTTGGTCATCCTGCGGTCCGAGTCCTCCATGCGCGTGTGCTGCGTCCAAGACAACCCTCCACTCTCTGACGCTGCGTTCGACTGACGGCTTACAAACACACTGGCCACTTCAGCTTCCCACTGTACACGTCGGTGGTGCGATTTCCACACTTTTTGAACGCGTCTTGACGCTCTACGAGCACGTCTGAACTGTCGACAAAGCAGCCAACTCGTAATAAAATACTGAAGTCTACACGTACTTTTCTTCAGCGCAACGTATCGACACCTCGCAGTCCATCCAACCATAGCGTGTTGAAGACGAAATACCGCAGCCTTCCGAGCAATAAAGACTTTTCTCGCTGCTCGTTGACGCCGTAAGCTCTGGAGCACCACGAGAGCAGAGCGTAACGCGACGAACATCCGGCGTGTCTTCCACTTCCGCACCATAGCTTGGGTCTTAACTATACACGCTTTCAGCTTCTTGAAGCGTCTGCGCTGTAGAACTTGACGTACGAACGCAGCTAGCACGATCGCTGCCTTCCTCTCACGCAGGAAGCGACGACGCTGAGTCCGACAGCGATACTTGGTTTGAAGTCGAACTGCGGCGCGTTTTTGGATCTGAAAGCGACGACGGTGCACGTGCATCCGCTGCCAGGACTGCAGACTCAACGTAGCGCGTTCACGCATCTTCCGCTCGCGTTCAGCGGCTGTACGAAGCAGGAAGCCTCGGATATGACGCTGAATCTCGGTAGCTGCACGTGTGGACTTGACAAAGCGGAGGAATTTGCATCGAGTGACGAACTTGCGAGATACTCGAGTCATGACAGTAGCTGCACGCTTCTTCTTTTTGAATAAAGTGGTGAGTTGAAAGGCACGGAAACGCGCTTGGATCTTGAGCGCAGATTGTCGTTGTTGCAGATATTTGACACGCTGGCTGTGCATTCTCCAAAGTGCTTGCCATTTCACTGTCGCTCCACGGAGCAAGTGGAACTTCTTAAATGCCAAACGAGCACGAACCAGTTTGGACTGCAGGACGACGATGCTATCATGTCGAAGTGTGGCTAATGAGCCTTCGAGACGCTCGATCTGGCCGTAACGAAGGAAAACCTCGTTCTTTCCCATAGCGAAGATCTGTCGAACAGGACGCAACGTTGGTGTCTCCGGCTCGTCCTTCTCAACTTCTGGTGAGTCGTTATCTGCCTCCGAAGGTTCTTCACGTTCGAGGTCTTTATCTTTAAGCCACTCGCGCGCAATAACCTCACACGCTTCTCGAGTTTTACTGGAGTTACCTCTTGTGGCTGCGACGCCGTACTTTTTGATTCCTAGCGGCCAGAAGAGCTCGTAGAAGATGCTGAATTGCTTGCGAATGGGGAACCCTTCCTGTCGAATCCGTACAACCTCAAGCACGCCGCTGTAAACCAGTTGATCGCGGACAAGCTCACAGCTGAAACCACCTGGGAATTTCAAGTTGTTAGGCTTGATACACTTGATATAACTGGGTGTGGTGCTCCACAGAACCTCCATAAGTTCCGCTAGTTGAGTGCGGAATCGACTCGATACGGTTGTTGTACCGGTGAGAGAAGCGCTCTGTGTACGCTGGTGCATTGCTCCTCTCGGCGTTGACGGCCCTCCTCGCTTAGTAGCTGCACCACCAAGTGTAGCAGCAGCTGGAGCACTGAGCATGGCTTGAAGAAGCGGTTGCGAGCTACGACGCAGTAGATCGAGCAAGTCATCGTGCAGATTGTCGGTGTTCTTGGCGATGAAGTCGTGGATATCGTACGTCACGTCTCCTGCGTAGTGTCGGATGATGAACTCGTCGCACTCGAAGCGAGGTTTAGCATAGCTCGGGTGTTTATCCAAGTGGTTTCCATGGTAAATGGTAAGCAATTGTTTGTCTGTAGTTTTGCGTTTGAGCAGCATTTGTTCCTCCAGAAGAGGTAACAGTCCCAGAGGAGGCTTCTGGATGAGATCCAGACAGCGCTGGTTGTCCTGGAATTCAACGGGAGATACGGCGATCCCTTCGCGAGCGTATCGCTCCTGCTCCAGTACGAACACATGCTTGTTGAATTGTTGTTGTAGAGTTTCGTTGGTAAAGTTGATGCACAGTTGTTCAAGGCTGTTGCGCTTCATCACTTCAAAGCCGAAGATATCGAGAATTCCGATAAACGGAGACACAGATGGAGTAGTAGATCCGCCTTGAACACGAGCTTTTGGCGTCTTCTGGTCGGAAGATGTCTGTTGTCTGGCACAGGCGTTGATACGTGCGATCACGTGGTGGAAAAGCTCTCCGTAAAGATACTTACAGAAAGCATCCATGGCATTTTTCGCCTGCTCTGGAGTGAGTTTGATCTCCAGGATACTCCCACGACCTGTGATCGTAGTCTGCGTTACCATCTTGTTAGCGAACTCTGCAGCATCGACACCTAGTAACATGGCTACATGCTCCAAGTTCACACCGGTGTCGCTTTCAGGGAACACCACTCGAGTAGGCTCGTCCTCTCGAGATGCATCTCCTTTGCCCTCTTGAGTCGGGCTCTCGAAATTGACGTTCCCAAGGTGTAGAATGGCTGCTAGTACCTCAAACATGGGGCGCTGGAAGCTGGAAGTGTCCATTCCGAGCTGCTCTAGACAGCGTCGAAGCTGCTCGAACTCAGTCGCGTCGTCCACTCCATCGACCTCCACACAATCTCCACGTGTGAGGTATGTGTAGTTCCACACGTCATTCCGTAGCAGCAGTGGGCGATCCGCAGGGTTCGACGTGTTGTTTAAACTATCAAGCCCTGCTAGTAACTGGTAGAAGATGTGGTAATTGCGTTCGTTTACTTCTGGACGCACCAGGCGTGTCTTCTCCAGCAAAAAGTGGCGGATTGACACTCCTGCCATGCGTCCTTCACTGCTGTAATGGATCTGAATGTACTTGCCGAAACGACTGGAGTTGTCGTTGCGTGAAGTCTTTGCGTTGCCAAATGATTCCAGTATCAAATTGGACAGCACCACGCATTCCTCGATCTGTTCGTGTACAACTGCTGCCGTCTTTCCGGTGCTACAACTAGCGACGTGTTTACTGGCAGTAGCGAGGTATTTCATGATGTATTTGGACGCTTCGGTCTTACCAGCACCACTCTCACCACTGATAACAATGGACTGTGGAGCTCCAGACCCAGGAACAACCCCTTTCATGCCAGTGTACGCCTTCTCTGCGATTGAGAACAAATGTGGCGGAGCACTGCTGTCGCTGTTCGCGCCGTCTCCAGTGGCTGTAGCGGCCTCCTCGCGGCTCTTCATAAAGCCCACGACGTCGTACAACAGCGGGATGGACTTGTACGGGTTAATAGAGAGCAAAATATCAGCTGTGAACGTGTAGATCTCGTCGCGTTCGAAGCGCTGGCGCAGCACGTTGAGCAGTGGCGCCTCGTGCATGTTGTTCATTAGCGCCACATCGGCGTGATCCACAATGTGCGATGCGTCAAAGGTGAAGAGCTGATCCATACGCAGAGTCTGCGTCTGGTCTTCTGCAGCGTCAGGGAGATAAACCTGCACTGTCTTCCGGTCTTCAGCGATGGTCTGTACCTCCCCGATTCGCCAGAGCACCTTAGCGTCGGCCACCCACACTTTGGCTCCGACTTGTAAGTGTCTGGCATTGATCTGCCCAAGCGCGGGACGTCCTACATGGTTGGTATTGTTACATTGTGGTTGGTTGCTGCTGGGGCTATCGGTGCTCTTTCCGGGTGTCTTCGTACTCAGCGGTCGCGTCGAGATCGTTGGATTCGCGCGTCGAGCGAGCATCTCGACGACAGCTTCACCCTCTGCGATCGAGGTAAGCCAGAATGATCGAGTGTCGTTGACTAGACGCCTACTGCAGTGCGTCCGTTGCCTCGAAATACACACAGTCGTTTCGAAACCATCTCGCGTTATTTACGGCATTCTGTCAAAGAGGCAAGTTGAAGTTGGTCGTACTTAGTCAAGCATCATTGCTGCAACATTCCAGTTTGACTTGATGTTTGTAGTCAGTCATACAACTCCTAGTGCAAACGCGAGATGTCGCTCGAAGATGCATGTTGCACCAAGCTTCAATTACGTGGCCATCTTAGCGGACACACTCAAGATGCACGGCGACCTGCGCGGCTTCTGTGCGTGCCTCGGCCTCTCTATCTCTCTGTGTTAGCTATCTCTAACGCCTTCCATTCCTGTAGATGGCGCGCCTGTGACCTACGCCTTCTCGCTCGCAGTGGGCGCCGCCAGCTCCGCCAGCCTGTTGCTGGACCGCGGTCGTCTCCTAGCGCTCGACCGGGACGCCATTCTCAGTCGATCTCAATACTGGCGGTTGATCTCGAGTCAATTGACATTCCACCAGTAAGTATTATTAATTATTTCATTTTACTATATTTTTATTAACAATTTTCTCCGATATAGTGGGTTGGCGGTGTCTCTAGGACTCTACGCCGTGTTCCAGTTCCGAGTACTGGAGAGACAGCTGGGCTCCCGTAAATTCGGGAGTATTCTCGTCTTCGTGCTGTTAATTTCGGGAGCGCTACAACTCGCGGCGCTGACGTCCGCTCCCTGGCTAACCAAGACCATCCCGGGAGGACCGTACCCTGTCATTGGAGCTTTTGCCGTCTACTTTAACAGTACGTAGCCGCAGTAGAGAACGATGAAAATGTGATATTGATTTATGTTATTATTTTTATGCTGTAGAGTTTATTCCCAAGCTGCATCCGCGGTCATTCAGTGTATGGGGTCTGCACTTCTCGGACAAGTCCAGCACATACATGCTCATGCTCGTGGTACGTAAAAAAAAAATAGTATTAGAATTATTTAAAAAACGTAAACTAACGTTGTCTAACTGTTTGCTTTTCTAGCTATTCGTGCGTGACTTCCACGCGTTGATCCCGTTTTTCGGTGGATCGTTCCTTGGTCTTCTGTTCAGCTCTACGCCCCTCGGCCGACTGCGACTGCCGTCGTTCGTATGCTCCATTTTCAGTCTGCTACATCCGCTGTTTGATGTGGTTCCTTCGAGCACATTGGCACTCCAACGGCAGCGACGTGCTCTTGAGGCTCAGCGACGAGTTAACGCTCGTTTTAACCGAGGTCGTCCAGCTGCACCGGCCGTCCAGGGTCAAGGATTCCGAGACCAGTTACTACCGGGTGCCGGTGGGATGATGCCCGGTGGCGCTCCTGCGGCCGGTGGCATGTTGCCCCCTCACATGGCTGCTCAACCGCCGTCCGAGGACGCAATTCAGCAGCTTATGGTAAGTAGGTATTATTGTTTACTTGGATACTATGGTAACTTACGACGGGTTGGTTGTTATTTTAATGTAGGCCCTTGGGTTTGATAGAGAGCGCGCTCTGCAGGCACTTCAGTCCACAGACAACAATGTGGAGGCGGCTGCAAATCGGCTCCTAAACGGATTGTAGAGGAAAGATGAAGCATACAGAAATAAAGGCGATGACAGGCATCACGCCGATTTTACCTAGTACGTACATATAGCAAGCTACATTGACACCTCTCGGTTGGAGACCAGAGCGATGATCTCAAGTTGCAATGCCTCATTTAGTTCGTTGCGCGAGATACGCAAGCCTATCATCTTTCACGGTTATCAACCAGGTCACGGGCGGCACTGATCTTAACGCTAGCCAGGTTGATCGCCCGGTACTGGAAAGGTAGTGAGCAACAAACAAAGGAACAGCTCTACTGATCTTACATACAGGGTCGCACCTACGGATGCAGTTTGTAGTGAATTGGCTGTTTACTTGCCGAAGTAGTGCAGCTCGATGGGTCTTGTGATGAGGTACGACACGATAGCGAACAGCCACACGAGCTCGACGCCAATGTCTCCTCCATACGGCTTCTCGCCGCACAATTTAGCAATAGGACCAACATACCACGTCTGGCTCATACCCAAAACGGCACCCACGATGCCTACGCAGAACGAGAAGACTGCGGCGATACCGTGTGGTAGCTTATCGGGTTTGTCATAGTCAGCCGGATTGTAACCCGAGTAACCCTTACGGAAGTAGAAGTGTTCAGTCAGACCGATGGCTGCGTATACCGACATCCAGTAGCCGATGACGTTCATGAAGTTCTCCAATACACTCTCGAAATGCGAGTAACCGGGGAAGGCTACGACGGCGTAGATGACCGAGCCCACCAGTGTCCATACGAAGCGTGGGATACTACGCGTCCACTCGCCGAAAACCTGCACGGTGATAGCGAACGAGTAGATATTGGGACAGTTGTTGGCGATAATGGACAGCGCCAGTATGACGAGGCAGAACTGGCCGAAGCCGCCAAGCGGGCCCACGACCACAGCGCTGATAAGACCGCCAGCACCGGCCTCGTTGTAGCCGTCACGGTACTTGCTGTCCGGGTTGCTCTCGTCCGTGGCGGTCATCACAGCAACGCCCAGGAACTGCGTGAACAGCAACGGCACGATCAGACCGGTAAAGGCGGAGAAGAACACCTTCACCTTGCTCTGGTTAACAGGTTGGTACACGGTGTAGTCGGCGGCGTACGACGTCCAGCCAGTGGCGAACCCAAAGACCGTAACGCCGAAGCTCAATACACTGCCCACTTCCGAGGTGCCGGTACCCATCGGGATGTGGACGTACGCGCCTGAGACCGCGAACTCGATGAGTACGATCATAAAGACGATGAAGGCCGGAATCCACGACCAGAATTCGTAGGCGTGCACCACTTTGTAGCCGAAAAGCGTGACGATGAAGGTGCACACAGTGATGATAATGATACCGGCCCAACCCGGGACGTCGTTGTTAACTGCGTTGATAACCTGCGCACCGACGATGACGTTGATACAGGACCAACCGAGACAAGCGATCACGTTGAAGAGAGCCACGATCTTGACACCGTGCCAGCCGTACCAGAAGCGTGAGAGCACGATCTGGCGTAGACCGAAGATAGGACCGAAGGTAGAGAAGTAGCACACCGGTAGGATGCCAACAATATTAAAGAAGAACACGACGAGGAAGGCGTCGGCTGAGCCCAAATTGAAGAGCGACTTGCCCAGCACACCGATGGCGAAGGAGCTGATGACCATGTTGGCCGCCAGCCACATACTACCGACGTTCAGCAGCGAGTCGTCGTGGCGCTCGTCCTCGGGCACGCGCTCGATGCCGCGCGTCTCGATTTTGAAGCGGCTGGCCCACCGCTGCAGACGTGCGTAGAGCGAATTGCTGTCCTCGAAAGACTGCTCCGGGGTCTGCAGTGGCACGTCGCCATCCAGTTTGGAGTACGCTGCCCTGGGCGATTTCTCCAGGTCAGGCAGATGACTGTCGGTCTTGTCCATGGTGACGGAGGTTGACGAAAAGGACGCAATGGGGGATGCCACGCAAAACGAGGAATGGGGATCCGAAAGACTCGGCGGAGGCCACCGATCAAGCGACGCCCTCCACCGGTACACATCCCTCGGTGAGATGATGCAAAGATGGCGGCGCCGCGACGAGAGAAAAGAATCCCTGACAAGTGCAGAGAGCGAACGGATCGGCACAGTGATCGGCCATCTGGTTGTCATCCAGAAGTGAAACGCGGATTCGACTTGGAATTTCGCTAGGAGCACAGCGGTAGATTGAAGCGAAAACGAAGATCTTCGCAGAGAGCTCTATCTATAAGGCTGGCGGCTTGTCCAGGACAGGCAAGCGTGTGCTTGACGAGCTTTCAGAGCCCGTGTTCGAGCTGAAATACACGATGCTACAGTGCATGAAGCAGGAGTGGCATTCCGTGCGCATCATCCAATACAGCACACGATGCATTGGCCAAAGTTTAACGCAAGCCCGGCGCAAACTTAATCTACATGTACTGCGGACCGGTCACTGCCAATGCTGCTGCAGACGGATTTGTGCGACGTACACTACATTG